TTTTATTTTTTAAGCAATCATTGCCATCCTCTCTTTCTTTTTCTTTGCTTCTCTCTTAATTGTTCTCTTCGCCATCTCCTCTCGCCTTTATGTTTTCTATGGTACCTGAAGTCGCTTGAGAGTTATTTCTTATTTTATTTTATCATAGTTATTCCAGGTGTCGCTCTAGTTGGCAAATGGCTCCTTTTATAGTCGTTTTTGTTGTGTTTTTGGAATATGATAGAAAGAGTCTCTCCCTTAGTCTTTTCTATTTCAAACATTTACCCCAAAGTTATTTTGAGTGAAAAACTTATCGTTGCCTTAATTGCTTCAATACAAAACATTGGTTTGAAATGTGATTTTCGAGTCCGAAAAACTTGTGTGGTCGTAGAGCCTATAAAGGTTATAGAGTACTCTCAATAAAGATTAAAAACCATTTATCCTTAAAATTTTATTCAAACACCATAATCAAGCTTCCTCAATCATAAAATCATCTATAAAGTTAATTTAGCACAAACCATATCCAAAATCATTATTATAAGCTTCAACCTAAGATCATTATCCATGTAAATTTTTTTAAAATGAATGCCAACATATGTGTTGCTTATGTAGAATGTCATGTATTTGGCGATCACATTTTTCCACACATAACTTTCACAACATTCATTAAGTATATTTATAAAGATTGTGATTGGAGGGCATAAACTTTACTTATGAACACAAGGATATCCCGACATCTTCTTCCCAACCCGAAAGTTAAGGGAAAGAAAATCAAGTTTTAGAGGAAAAGAAAAGTGATATACAAAGTAGGATAATTACTTACTAAAAAAAGAGAGAGGAGCAAGTATTTGTTACTATCTCTCGACTTTATGAGAAATAAAGAATAAAATAAGCGGGAAAAATGATTTCAAAGCATGCATCTATTTAGTAATAAAGAAAAAACAATTCATGCATGAGCTTTATTCACTATTCTAAGAGCTACAACATATATGTGACCATATTCATGAATGAAAGATCTTAAATTTGAGAATCAACTCGTATAGTTAAAACATGCAATATGAATCCTAACTACCCCAAGAATTACTATATATAGAAGATAAACCGTGAGAAGACCAACTAATCCTTATATGACTTCACTTGGGGATTTGTCAAGGCCTCAATTGTTCCTTTTCTTTATTAGTGCATAGGTCTCTACAAAATAATGGAAATCAAAACTACGGAATCAATCAACTTTATTATAACTTAGAGGGAATTATTTGATATGCATTCAAAAGGGGAGTTACTTGTAGTATGTTTTATGCCTTCGTTCCACGAAGTCCTCCCTTTGTTTCCATGTTTTTTCTTCTTTTTTTCCTTCTTTTGAAAAAGTCATTAATACTTTTTGTAGAGTTATGACACTCATCTAGTTGAACCCCTCATTCATAGTCTACTTCTTAACTACATCTAGGTTGATTTTTTACTAGAAATGCTTGCTAAAACCTATTGTCTCTCCGACATCAACACCGATTTACAAGGCTACAAAATTATCACTCTTTGGGAAGGTATTGATAGAAGCATATACGGGACATGTGTTCTTCATGATAGAGGTATGATGGTTTGACTATTGTACATTTGGTTGAAAATGTGCGTATTCCAATACATAATCCATAGTTAACCATAAAAGATTGTTTGGAACATGGTTACATAGTAAAAATGGAACATGCAATCTCCCAATAGATGGTTGAAAGAAACTAGAGTCACATAACTTATACAACTATCTATGCTATCTATTCAAATAATGGTGTCACATCCTCTTATTAAAAAACCATTTATCCAAACTATACATGTTGTAGACATCCATAGTTACCGAGATTCCAAGGGGAGCAAGAAATGTCAATCTAGTGAAATCTTTTGAAGAATTTTGTAAAATAGAACTAACTGGATAGCATTCAATTAAATCCTTCAAATGTAAATAATGATGAATTAAATGACATTTCTAGTATATGAGAACTTGATGAATCATATACAAAAAAAATTAATGGGAGATTCAAAAGACAAATACAACCAAATGATCGCCCATTTCCCGAGAAATCACTAAAATACAAACCTAATTCATTTTTATTACGTATAGTATTTTAAGTTATCGAGATACATCAATATCAAAAGAAAGGTGGCTAAATAGTGTTCCAATAGGTGATCTCATGTCATTATTAGTTTTACAAAACATTTTTTCCTTCTCAAGTAGTTAAACTATGTAATTTTTAGATATAGAATGACAAGCCACTCGAGTTAAAAATGTCTTATAATCTTTAGAGCAAAATCATGATTGTGAGTAGTCCAAATCCATGGCCGATATATGTGCTCTTTTCAATAAAGTGACCTCTCGAATCCTACCTCAAATTTTCATGGAAAGAGTAATGGCCTACGTAAGAAATATCACCAACAAACAACATAGTTTTCCTTTTATATTGGATATATATGTTCTAATATGTTGTTAAAATCAAATGTTTGTCCCAATTCACCTACGAGAAAGAAGTGTATCATCATATGCTCGTTAGCAAATGGAGATAGAAAAAAATTAAAATCACGAACTTAAAAGAAAGAAAGAAAAACAGAAATTCAGATCTAATCATTTCTCCTTTACCCAAGAAATGCTTTGTTTTTCATCAAGAGAAACATAAAAGAATATATGAGAGGAAGAAATACTTTGTTTTTGGTCAATAGAAATAGAAAAGAATAGATGAGAGAGAGAATGTGTATGAGAGAAGAAATTGAGATTTTTTTTCGCAATGGTAGACCAAGGAATAAAGTGGTGGTTGAAAGAGAGAGAGAGAGAGAGAGAGAGAGAGAGAGAGAGAGAGAGAGAGAGAAGTGGCATCACCTTGGAGGTTCTCGGAGAGTCCAACTTTTGGTTTAGGAGGGGCGAAGGCAATGTTGAATTCTAAAGAGGAAGCGATATGTGTGGAACATAAGGATTTGTTGAGGAGAGAGAGTGAGGGTTTTCTAAAAAGGGTGAGGTCACAATGGTGGAGATGGAGAGAAGAGAGTGCAACTATAATTTTAGAGAAAGAGAGAATAGAGAAAAGAGCACAACAAATTGAATGGCCGAAAAGAGACCAAGAAGAACACACGATCAAAAGAAAAGGAAAGGCCTCGCACGAGTATATCCATAATGCAATCGGGTTTGAATGAGTAGTAACTAAATAGTGAAAATCCTTATTTTTTTAGTTTTGTCTATTAATATATTTTTCCTCCGCTCTTAAATCAAATATTTAATTAAGCTATAAGGAGTAAATTATCATGATTCATTTAATTCTCCCATAAATAGTTTATATTTTATCAAATTCAAAAAAGATGAATTTAGAATCTATTTGTTTCGTATAAAATATTATTCAATGCAAATCAAATGCTAAAAATTAGTCAATGAAAAATATTTTTCAATCAAACTCTAAATAATACTAATATTTTTTTAGAAAAATATTTTTCTTGAACTATCAACTCATCACAATATTTAGTATACCATTATTTAACTATTTCAACTATTATTATTATCACCATCATTATTTTTTTGTTGTCGCTCTTATCTCACCATTGTCATTGCTACTATCGTCTTGTTAACAACAAAACAACCATTTCAACCATATACTATTTTATTACTATTTTGTTATTATTCTTCCAAAACCACTACTATCATGATAACAACAACACATCATCCCTATTAGTGCATTTTCTTGCCAATGTAACCATCACCGCAACCACTACTTTCTCGTTATTTTTACCATCACTATCTCACAACAACCACCTCTATTAGTTGTTGTCTCCACCATCATTGTTACCGTCATTGCTTTATTATTTAAATAACCACTATTTTTCCTCATTTTCAACAATCTCCACAATCATATCAATAATATGACCATTGTAATCATAATCGTTATTATAAAAACTACTAATACAAACATCATCAATAATACCATTATAATCATCACTTAACATCATATTTTGTTTCTAGTCTTATTACCACAACTTGAAAACTACTAATGAAAATAATTTGTTTTTTTTTAAAAAAAATTAATACATCCAAACCCTAAGTTTAAACAATGAAAAATTCTTTTTCAGCAAAACAGATAGATGCTTAGTTACAAAAACAGTTCCAAACTAAAGTATCAGGCATGCAACAAATGAGAGTAATATAGAAAAAAAAATAGAATTTCTTATTACTTGACCAAAAAAAGAAGGAAGAATTCTATATTTTGCAATTTTGGTGCAAGTTTAGTGGCAAAAATGACATTTCAAACACCAATATTTTTATTTTTGATTTCCTATCCTACCAAAAAAAAAAATTCCAAATTCTGGTCCATTATTTCTCTCTCTCTCTCCCTCCAAAAGCAAAAAGCATTCAACTTGAAGTACGCCACTTCTTGATTTTCTCTTTTCTTCGACACTCATCTCTCTTTGAGATCCAAAAGCACCTTCCACAAGAACATCAACTTTTGCTATTATTCTCCTCTGTTACGCTACTTTGCTTGTTTTTGAACCACATAGAAAATAGATTCTTCAAAATTTTAGTTATATCCGCTAAATTTTTAAAGCACTCACTTCACCTTGATCTGTTCTCTCTTTTTTCCAAATTCCAGCTAATACATTTTTAGTCTCTTCCGTCATTTTTTGGCCACACATTCTCTTAATCTTTTTCCTTCTTCTCTCTCTTTGCTTCTTTTAGTTAAAAAAATTCGGTCTTTGTTTTTTGTTTAACTCAAATTTGGCTACTTTAGCTTCAAAAGTTCGTTTCTTTACTAACCCTTTTCGTTATTTGTTGATCTTGCCATAATAGTGTATGCTTTATGTTCTTTATGCCGTTTGGTTTTCTGGGTCTCTTTTGTTTTACCGGTTTTTTGTGATCCCAACTTGTAGTTCTGGTTTAAGGTTATTCGATCAGTTTTGGCTTCTGGGTGCTTGTCCTCTTTTTGTGTGATTGGAGTTGGAGTTCGTACTCTCTTTTGGTTTACCTTTTTGAAGACTGTTGATGCATTGTTGCCAATAAGATGCAGCCTGATCAACGCAAAAAGGTAATAATCCAGTCATCATCTTTAGCATGTAATTTGTGTGAGTATAAATTTCCATGTCTGTGTACTTTTTGGACAAATATCAAATTGGTTGTTGTGGACTATGGAAATGATTTTCGATTTGTATTTACTTATGTTACTGTCTTGTAAAGTACATCCGTCTTACTAGTAGGCTTGCGATTCGTTTTACTTTTCACTACGATCCTCTTAATCATTTTCTGATCCATTGTATTGGATATTACTTTGTATTGTGTGCATTCATGCGTACAAAGGTGTGAAGGAACAACTGTCATGTTCATGTCTGAGGTTCTTTGACACATGTTTATTTCCCCCTGTCGCAAAATTTGCAGGTCCCAGTTGAATACTATTTCCATGTAATGCAATTCTTACTTTTAATGTGTGTGTGTGTGTGTGTGTGTTATGATACGGGAGGCACTGCATATCTTGAAATCGGAGGTGTCAACCACATGTCCGCATGTTCATATCTTTTCCTTTTTTTCCCTTTTTTTTTGGGGTTGTGGGGTAAATTCATGAAGATATTACCATGGGGCCTGGAATCAAAATTTTCATTCAGAGCAGTAATTCCATTTCCAGTTTAGTTTTACCAAAGATTTGATTTATAAATCTCATCGACAGCTGTATACTTCTTGTTGACAAACTGAGGGAGCAATTGTTCTCGTTGATATTCGAACTCTTCTAATCATAGATAATTTAGACTAAATAATTGCTCCACACTCAATGAATTAGTCCTGGGATCAATTTAATTATTGGGGAAACAGTAGTAGATTAGGATGTTGAATGAAGCAATTTGAAGCAATCTCTTCAAATTTGCTATGGCATTCAGAAGATATGTGCTATTTTCATGATACCAAACATGTTTGCTTATGTCATGTGTGCACACACAGCACAAAATCTCTTGGTGTAGCTAAAATGGTGTTGGAATATTCACTTTAATTAATATTGCAAGTAATTTTGATTGCAATTATAAACTTCTTTCTGAGTATTTTTCTCTGTCCATGATTTGGCGCATTTGAATTTGGTATTGCAGTCATCAGTGGATGTAGACTTTTTCACAGAATATGGTGAGGGGAGCAGGTACAGAATAGAGGAAGTGATTGGCAAAGGAAGCTATGGTGTTGTGTGCTCTGCATATGATACGCATATTGGAGAAAAGGTTGCAATCAAGAAAATCAATGACATCTTTGAACATGTCTCTGATGCCACCCGCATCCTTCGAGAAATTAAACTTCTTAGACTCCTGCGCCATCCAGATATTGTGGAGATAAAGCACATCTTGTTGCCTCCTTCCAGAAGGGAATTTAAGGACATATATGTTGTTTTTGAACTAATGGAATCTGATTTGCACCAAGTTATTAAAGCAAATGATGACTTAACTCCAGAACATTATCAGTTTTTCCTTTATCAGCTTCTTAGAGGCCTCAAATACATACACACAGGTGATTGACTTGGTTTCTTGAAGTGCTAACAGTAAAATATCAATTTTTTTCTTAGCCTACTTTTTTACTCTATATTGACCCACTTCCGCTCATAGTGTGGTGTAGTATTGTTACACACTGACATACAGTATGTGTAGAAATGTAACTATCAGGTAGTTGCTGATTTATTATGATTATTCCAGTATCATGGTTATTTTTTTTATGGTCTTGTAGCTAATGTCTTTCACCGGGATCTGAAACCCAAAAATATCTTGGCAAATGCCGACTGCAAGCTCAAGATCTGTGACTTCGGTCTCGCAAGAGTAGCCTTTAATGATACCCCAACTGCCATTTTCTGGACGGTAGGTTTTCTCTTGGCTTGATGTAGCATTTTAATTTCTATGTAGGAGGATCCCCATGATGGTTACAAATGTTAATTGCTGTACATTTAGGGATTTTTAATTTCCTTTTCTTGTGATGTCAGGACTATGTTGCAACAAGATGGTACAGAGCTCCTGAATTGTGTGGATCGTTTTTCTCAAAGGTTCCAGAACCATTACCACCTCCATTTTGTTACAAACTTTTGTGAATCTCCTTTGACTATACTGGCTTTAATTGCTTCTCTCCTTGCATGGTTATTGCCAAAACACTTTGAAATTAGAATTATTGCTTGCATTGGTGCTTATGCTAGTTAAAGAGTTGTAAGCAGTTAATGTTATCATATTCCAACTTACTCCCTGCAACAGTTGTTTTAGTCATTGCTTCTGTTTTTTTTTTTTTTTTTTCATTTTTTTAGTATACGCCAGCAATAGACATATGGAGCATTGGATGCATATTTGCTGAACTATTGACAGGAAAACCTCTTTTCCCTGGGAAGAATGTAGTTCATCAATTGGATCTGATGACTGATCTCTTGGGAACACCATCGCCAGAAGCCACTGCAAGGGTATATTTCATGTGATAGATTTTCCTTGAAAAAGAACTGATTGTTGTATCTTTTACAATCTGTGTTTCATATCTTCACACATACAGTTTCTCTGTATGCTGAAGTTTTGGTATTATATGAACAGGTACGCAATGAGAAAGCTCGAAGATACTTGAGCAGCATGAGAAAGAAGAAGCCCATTCCGTTCTCTCACAAGTTCCCTAATGCAGACCCCCTTGCACTTCGTTTGCTGGAAAGAATGTTGGCATTTGAACCTAAGGATCGACCTAATGCTGAAGAGGTAAATCTCGGCACCTTTTTGTCCTCACCTTGATAATGTGGCTTCTTCTAAAGGAGCATGTTGGAATGCATTTTGTCAGGCTCTTGCAGATCCATATTTTAAGGGCTTGGCCAAGGTTGAGAGAGAGCCTACTGCTCAACCAGTTACCAAGATGGAATTTGAATTTGAGAGACGGAGGATAACTAAAGAAGATGTAAGAGAGCTTATATACCGAGAAATTCTAGAGTATCATCCTAAAATGTTGAAAGAGTTTTTAGATGGTTCGGAGCCAACTGGTTTCATGTATCCAAGGTATTGGTCTAGTAAAATTAAGATTCTTGCTTCATATCATTATACTTGTTAAAGCATATGTGGTATTCTATATATTTGAAGTATCTACAGAAGTATGAGGTTCCTGTCAAATTTAAGATGTTTAAATGTCCTTGTGGAATAAATTTTTATGTTGTGAATTTTTCAGTGCTGTTGACCATTTCAAGAAGCAATTTGCTTACCTTGAGGAGCACTATGGAAACGGTGCTCCTGTTACTCCACCTGAGAGGCAGCATGCATCATTGCCCAGGTATCCCTATTTATAAATTATTTCAATGGTGCTACTGTTCATTGTTGGGGCCTGTTTTATATATCCTGATAATGTTCTGCTGCCCATTTAAATTTGGAATTCTGTCCACTGCATTGATAAAAATTCGTGCATGCAGGGCTTGTGTATTATATTCAGATAATACAATACAGAATTCAGCAGAAGTCACCAATGATCTCTCCAAGTGTTCTATCAAAGAAATTGAGAAACCTCATGTAGACAGGAGTAGTGGGATGCCAATGACAAGGCTTCCTCTTCAAGTTCCTCAAAGTATCCAAGGTTTTGCAATAGTTGCATCTAGTTTTCTTCATCTGTTCTGATTTTCTCTCTTTGATGTCTTACTGAATTTCTAGGAAATCAATATTTTGTACTGCATTCGTGTTTCTCTTTCCCTCTCTGAAACCTGTTGACTCCTAATTTTGAATGATAAACCATTCTGAATCTTGTTTGTAACCTTATCTTTCATCTGATTTCACTGGCTGACCAATTAGGTTATGCTTTGCTGACATCTTTCAAGTGGATTGGTTGGCATGGCATCAAATAATTGAGTGAATATATACAGTTTTTAGGAAAGTCAATGAGGTTTTGCATACAAAACTTCCAAATACATAATTCAATATGAGAAATGATACCAGCTATTTGAGTTGTCAAGGAAATGAATATTTGGTGTGTTATAACATGTGATCCCTTGGCTGTCATCAAATTGTTTAATTTTACTCCTCTTTTTTCTCTATCAGTTTATTGCTTCTGTGGCTTGCATGTTGTTTACTATTTGCTAAGAAACAAATGTTCAGAAGCACGGATGTCCAGAAGTTGATCAATCGATTGATATTCTTAAAATTTCATGCATGTTCTTGCAACTTGATTATACAATCCAATTGATTCAGCTTGTTATTTGACCTGTAGAAATATTTGACAAACTTAGAGAGTAGCAATACAATAGTATGCATCTTTTTTCTTTTTCTTTTTTGGATTTAAATCCATAGACCAGGATGTATGTATGTATTTAAGCAATGCACTGTTGAGCTTGATGCCTATTTAGATTGCTACCTTTCTCCTGTCTTTCCTCTTAAACCTGGTTGCTAACCTGATGACATGTGTGATATACTGATGACTCTAAATTGAATGCCGTTCCCTACAGCAGGTGTTGCAAGACCTGGGAAAGTTGTAAGTTCGGTGTTGCGTTACAACAATTGTGGAGCAGCAGCTGCAGCAGAGAATCTTGACCAGCGAAGGATGGTCAGGAATCCAGCTAATTCAACTCAATACTCCACTGCAAACTCATATCCAAGGAGAAACCCAGCCTGTAAAAATGAGAGAGGGGAAGATGAGGGGGTCGAAGGTTCCAATGGATTGCAGCCAAAGCCACAGTATATGGCAAGGAAAGTTGCTGCTGCCCAAGGTGGACCTGGAAATCACTGGTATTAATGGTGCTTTTCTCTGTGGCAACTCAAAAGTGTTAACTGCCTACATCCAACCTAATGGCGGCGGTTATTAAATCACGTCATCCCAGAATGATCTTCTGCCAGTGCAAAATACATCAGATTCAAAGGCTGTCATTTTAACAGTGCTTTGAACCAGCTCAGGTTCTTCAAAAGATATATATCTGGAGCTTCTGTTGAAAGAAGTTGAGCTGCAAGTTGTATTTCACATTACTGATTTAAGGTTGAACAGGTTCTTCAGTGGTTAGGATTCATGATGTGTTGCAGTCTGATTTAGCTCGATAACCAAGATAACAAAGAATGTATGGTATCGTAAGTGAGAAGGCAAAGTGATTGGTTGAGTAGGTCTTTCTGTTTTCTTCTCGTTCTATGCAAGATAAAAGTTATCACTTTCTTTTCCCCTCTTGTGGGGTTTTCCATCTGAAGGTTGTACCATTTTATTTATGTTATTTTGTACTTGAAAAAGGATACTTGTTCTTTGACTTGAATATTGTCTCAAGAAGGGGATAATGGCTTACTAGGATGCAATAAAACTTCTTCTTGTCTCGTAACTACTTAATTCCCTATCTTGAATTTAAGTAGATGTTTTTGTTGTCCTTAGATGCATGTTGGGATCTTCTGAGGATAGAAAACCAACCCGCTGCTTGGTATCTTCAGTGCTTGACAGTAAGTATATGAATAAATTCGGCTGTTTGTTGTATAGTTTTAAATTGCGGATATTGTTGTAAAACCAGTTGTGGTAGTGTTTGCAGTTGCATATCATGATTATGGATCTTGCTAGTAAAATAATAATCGACATATAACATGTAAATCATTATATAATGACTGTTAACAGCTTTAAAGTCAGGTTTTGCTGTCTGTTTCTTTCTTGCAGAACTTTGTTAAACATTTAATAGCTTTCCGTGAGTTCATCATATCCACGTTGTTGGTAAACATTTAATAGCTTCACTTGAGGTTCCGCATATCCACGTTGCATACGCCAGCCAATTGACAAACGTAACCTCTGGAAAAAGTGCATCTTTTCTTCTCTTGCGGGTCGGATTTCTCTGGGGATGTTTCTCCACCTTCCCGTCTCTGTCATTTAACTGCAGCATGAAGCAGCAGGCACGACGGACAATGACACAACAGCACAGCAGTTAAGTCGAGAAAAAAGTTGTAATAGCTCTTCCAGGTGGACAGTCTTAAGTCGACATGGAACTCTTAATTTCCAAGTGGTCCTGTAAACTAGTTGGCAGATTATGTCAAATATTTTGGTCACCTATAATTACCAAATGCCAAGAGAGTATCAGGGGGTGCCCTTAACCTAGTAGCTTCTACGCCCGTGACATGGGAAGAAAAATTAAGTCGTGATAGAGACCAAAAAAGAGTGGTTCTCCTTCAGTAACGTGGCACCTTGTTGGTTCTTTCCTACGTCCTGCCTAGTCAAGGCATTGACCGGACGGTGAGTTGCCATGGTCAAGGCTTTATCATGCGTTTCATTCAACACAGACAACCAATCAATAATCGGGCCATGCTCTCTACCTCCTAAAGGCTGAGTACTGTCTTGTAATTTGCATTTGCACAAGCATGAAAATAACTTGCACGCTCCACGCTGCCAAAAAGAAGGCAAGAATTCAGGAGGTGGGTGCACACGTGTCAATCATTGTACTTGTTAACCGACTGAAAACAAGCAAGATTAACCGTGAGATCTGAACTCCGTGGATGTTTCTGCCCCTAAAACCGTGACTCACAACCCGTAGGCCTCACCACTTGTCAGACCTCGAGAATTAAAATTATGGTAATGGTGATAGCTGGGTTGTGGTGGCAACAATGCTGGGCGGCCATCGTTAGGATGTTGAGATTGCAGCAACGAGATGGTTGAAATGGTTGCATAAAAATGAGCGAAAATTTGTGAATTTATTTCTCTGTAAAATATTTTAAGGACTTCACATTAGTAAATATTTTAAGCAAAACGCACATCCCTTTAAAGAGAGACCAAAAACTGGGATGTAAACGTCTTTAGACAGGTGCCAAAAGGAAAAACCAGGAAGTTTGATTTCCGGTTCTATAGAACCGTAGGCTAAGGCAAATTGCTATAATACATCCATGTAAAGGTTCTTTACATGCACACAACAAAGTACATCCAGAAAGCACAATCACCACATGGAAAGAAAAGGGTCTGGTTGGTATAATGCAGAGACGACTAGACAGACAAGAAAATAAAGTTTTCAGAATTATAGAACAAACTAGCCAATGTACTAGAAAACACTTGACCAACAAATGAACCACTGCTATTAAATTTCTATTACAGTAAACTGTCAGTACAATCACAAAAATGTCTAAAGCCTAGCAGCTCTGATTATTGTCCAGAGGATGAGGTATCTGCTATTCTCGTATCAATGTATCCTTTGCTTCACCCGCCTTCCATTCATATCACCATCTAAGTTATCATTACCATGTGTACAAGCGATGACAGAATGCTCACCATTTTTGGCAACATATTGCAGCAGTTCCGTTATGACAGAAGGGCAACTTTCTTTCAAGTATTCAAACCCATCCGTTTGCATCACAGCTGAAAACAAATTACCAGCACAAGGTCATTAGTTATGCAGGTCATAAAAGAAAATGGCCAACCAACAGTCACCATCAAAACTTAAAATACTACGCACAAACAAGCACGCAGGAAAATCTTGGGGGCACACCAATCAAAAGTATATAGAAAAATGTTTACGCATGAGGTCCCACACATCCTCAATCATAACAATGAGCCAACAAAAGGAGCTTGGAGAGCTTCAACCAAACATGAATTGCTTTGTTTTGGGAGTTTGGGAGCCATATGATTGATTATGTGAACAGTCACCACATTCAGGTGATTAAAAGATGAATAATGCAATTACTGTTTGACAACAATTTAAACATCTGGGGGGTTGGCTGAGGAAACAGACAAGAAACTGAGCTCTGTCAAAGCATAATCAACCAATGCATAAATCAGAATGATTTTTTCCCCGACTTAAGTTCAGTGTTTCCAAACAAAATGACTATTTCAACGACTTAAGTTCATTGTTTCCTAACAAACAAAAAGCATGAGTGCTATAATGCAGTAAATTAAAAAGAAGGGCAAATCAGCAACATAAAACACACAAAGATACTTTCCAGGTTTGATAGCATGTGAATTAATGACAACCATATTGTAAGATATGCGAAAACATCAATCAATAACTATCTTAAAATGTTAAAGGGCACATTAGATCAATCCATTCAAAAGCCATGGTACAAAAATTGGGCAGGTGGTTCGGCTGGAAGCAAAGCCAGCTGCCTTTTTTCTTTATATATGTATATTGAGAAAAGCCATTGGTAAGTTATGACTCCATCAAAGCAGGTTGCTGGGCAGGGAAATTAAGGACGATCCTACCATACAGCCTCAAGTAACTGCTTTCAACTTCAAGACTTGAACCTGCAACTTTCTGGTTGCAAGCCCAATACTTGTATGCAGAACAATATGGTCGTAACTGAGGCAGAACGATATGGTCGTAACTGAGTTATAAAAAAAGACAACTTTCTACTACAGATCAACAATCATGGAGGCAGAGGGACGAAAGTCTTACCTTTCAAATTTTCAGGCAAAGCAATGAATTTGAGACACACGGATTTTAGTTGGATGCATTGATGCTGCTCCGCTAGAGCTAGTGTTGTTGCAACAGTGTTTATTGCAACATCTTCACAGAGTCTAGCTTCACAAAGCAATCTGAGCCTCTCAAGTGCATAGCGGTCTGCTGCTGCAAGCAGATGCTGAGCCATCAGTGTAGAAGCCCATTTTGAGTTCAAACCGACAAGCTCCTCCATATCCGGTAAGGCATCCCAGTATATAAAATGGATTAATGCCTGCAAACAAGAAACCATGACAGAAAGAAAAAGTTATAATTGCACAAGCTTACCTATTCACCTTCTCTTTTTTGAAAGATTATTAACCTTGTGATCATTAAGCTACAGAGTAAACTAAAAACCACTAGGTTTTTAGTCAGTCCTTTAGAATCGGTGAGATTTGGATTTTGAAGGGATTTAAATATTATTCCGGTAACATTTGACACCTTTAAGCCTGTCCAGTGTGCCTTTTAACCATCAGAGCTAGGTTCATTGGAAGTTGATGGTGATAAAAGATGTCACCAACCTCTTCCATCCTGATGTTCCATAGTTTTAGCACCAAGTTTAAACACTAGCATTTATACAACCTGGCACCATAAACATTTGCATTTTAAAGCGTGTTTAAATCCCTACCCTTAACATTTATCACGATTTATATTATCTCCGTACCAATTACCAGATGCTCATTAAAAAAATCTTGTTAACAGAACATTACTAAAACTAACTAGAAAGGCAGCATGCTAAATAAAAATTAAAGAAGCAGTACATGACAGGGTGAAAGGAAAGCACAATTAGGCCATTCTTCAATTGACATCCCAACAAACTCAGTTCCCATCTTAGGTCCAATCCCATTTTCACCTAAGGCAAATGCAGGTATTAATACCATCTGTGTGACTAAATTGAACATAATAGAATTGTTTCGTATCATTTTGTCCACAACGCAATATGCTTAGAAGCCTAAAAACTATTAAATTCCAAGCACTAAGACAAGCGAAAACTGCCTCCTTTTAGAAAATCATCGATGCGCTTGTTACAAGGAATGAAAACAGTACAGTGTAGTTATCCCACTGCAATTTTATCACCTGATCTCTTGAGCCAAGGCATGGATGAGACAGTTCAAAATTTATGTCAAAAGGATGTTAAAAAGAACAAATCAGCTGTGGAAGTTAATCAGTGTAATAATTAAGCAAGAGTACTCTCAAGCTGATGCAAAGTTATATTCATCCTACTTGATTAGTAATGGACAAACTGCATATGTAACAGGACAAGCAGGAAGAGAAGCAAGAAACAGTTAACCTTAGCTGGAGTGAGTAAGAATAAGGATAGGAGCAGTGCCTTGGGAGATGAATCCACATGTAAATTTGTGTATGGCACCACAAATATCCTGCACGGCACCACAATTACTCACCTAACAAAGGCAACCAACCAATAAAGCTACCTCTTCCCATGAAACTTATCACGGGACGCATAATATCTCATAACTGATGTATAAGAAACCACTAAAACCTTTCGGTGCACACCAATACTTGAGCAGTAGAGACAACTTGTACTCTTATGCATGCTAGAGTCAAGACATGACAATAACTTGACAAGTTCACTGCTACAGACAAATTCCACCTTTCCAGTCTAAAATAAATTTAGCAAGCTTAGCATTAATTGTGCCTCACTCAGAAGTTCTCATTTCAGAATGTAATGCTTTCCACTATTTTCCTCTTTTATTTAATAGCATGGGAAATGAAAAGAGAAGAGAGAGAGAGAGAGGGAGACTATTAAGGTTTTTGCAGCAAAGTTTTAATTAGAAAGCATGTAATAAAATTGGCACATACTAGGTTCAAAACAGTGTTGACATCCCCAAACTTGCAGTAATAGATTATCTGCTTCCTGACTAACAGTCAAAATCACTCACAGTACTTGTTACTTCACATAACACTTTAAAAATGTCACCATAGCCAACAAAACATGAAAGCATGTTCCACATGATAATCGGACCACAGAGAAAGGAGGCACAACCATAAAACACAGAATGGTACCAGCAGAAAATGAATTAAGGCTTTTGCAACTGGAATGTTGGACATTATCAGATTGGTTTTTGCAGCTTGTTATTGTCAGTGTGTGTCATGCACGAGAGAGAGAGAGAGAGAGAGAGAGAGAGGGAGGACCTTAAAAACTGGGGCTTCCATGTCTTCAACTTTTATGCATTGAGTGTTTGGATCCTTCATTGGACCAAAAAGCTGTGCTCTAAACACTGGGGAGCGTGCTGCCAGAACTATTTTGTGAGAAGCAAAGTTTTCTCCGTCAACTTGAAAATTTACATCAGTTCCCTTTCCATCGTCTAAAAGCTTTCCAAAATGCTGGCCGATATTGGAAGGTGGCACAGCAATGGTGTAGGTCTTAGGTCCCTCAGTGTGGGACTTAACAACACCAACACAACAGCGAATTACTAGAGTATCATCCTTAAGAAAGTCTGATGTCTCTAATTGTGTCCTTTTATAAAATCGTTTATAACCCCTGCAGCAAACAATTGCAGCACCCATTAACTTTTGTTTTCATCCACCAGCAATGAAAACTACTGGCAATATGAATAAAAGATACTTGGATAGTGTTGGGGATAAAAAATTTGGTTTGAGAAAAAGATGTGTGATTCCCGGCAAATATCCTTGTGCAAGGGGCCACATTACAGACAACGCAAGTCCAAAGGAGCAATAATAACGACACTGTTAATAAATACTTACGACAACAAGAAGCTTAATAGTAAAGCCTATTAATACATAGGTAATCACACAGTATATGAACAAGAAAAAGGAACAGATATTTTAAAAGACACAAAAAAGTTCCATCACATAGAATGCAATTATATATGAAATAGTGAAATACAGAAATATGGAAGAAAAGCATTTGCAATTTTTTTATTGAAGAACAAAAGGCATATCCAACGTTATTGAAATAAACACAACTAAACGAGAAGTGCTTTACATGCCTTGATATCGAAAAAGGAAAAAAGTTAACACTTAATTTCTTTTCCCATATACACAACAACTTTTCCTGGTCCAAAGAGCAAAGAAAAAAATAAAGCCACAAATTTCTTCATCATTTCTACAAATAATGCAGTCAATTATAGCTTCTGACACTAAATATCAAACAATTGGCGTTAAACACACACAAACCAAAAGATCATGGCATAACAAGTCACAAAATTCTACCCATAACCAATACGAGCACTTTGATCAATTAGAATTCAGAATTCAGACATTTCAGTCTCAAAAAAGAAAAAAAAAAAACTCACCACATACTGCCGCGATACTTAAGCGTATAAGGCCCGCTTTCAAGGGCTCTCCCAAAATGGCTATGAACCTTGTGCCTTTCTTTACCGCTTTGATCCATCAACGATAATTCAAACAAAGCCCTAACATCCGTCCCCTCGCTAGCAAGGGCAATGAATAAAGACACATAAGTGGCATTATCTTCAGGGCTTTTACCATCTGGGTAAAAATATATAGCCCATGCATACCCACCAATATAAAAAATTTCCGATGCCATGTATTTGCCTACCCCCATGCCTTTCGAGAGCGAATAGCCACCGATCTTGAATTCATGAGACCCATTAATGGTTTCCGTTATAGAAGTCGATGTTGTTGTTGTTGGAATTGACGATGAAGGGTTTGATGTGAGTGGTCCTGCTGAGAGGTCTCTGCTAGAAAACCTGATTGTGCCCATCAACTATTGAGAGAAAGGGTATCTGGGTTTCCTGGATTTTGGTATTTTTAGGGTTCTTGATGAGGGAATTGAAACGGGTCTGATTCGATTGTTTTGATTTCGAGAAAGATTTATGGAGAATTAGGGTTTTTTTTAGATGATCTTTTAGGGTTAAAAGATTAGATCTTTTTGGATTTGCTAGAATTGGGGGCTTTTCTGATTGGAAGAAGTGAAAAGAAAAGTTTGTGGTGGAGGTGGCAGTAGTGGGGTAACAATAATGGAACGTTAGAATGAAAAGGTTTGTTTATTTATAAAGGAGGAGCCTTTCTTTCTTTGTGAATTATGAGCATGAGATGTGTTATTTTCTTCAATTGCGATTAAGGTCGGTAAGTAAGATTAATTAATATTAAGAATAACATACATCATGCATTTCTTAGGCTTTGAAGTTTCGTATCAAAATTGAGTTGGCAGACTAAGAGTGAGCATAATTCTGATTCATCAAAAAACATCGAATTGAATCGAATCGAACCGATCTTAAATTTAAATTTATAAAATTAAAAACCGAACCAAAATATCAAAATTATTTCGATTCAATTTGATTTTTAAAAAAAAACAGAAATTAGTTTCCATTGAAAATGGAATATATGGACAATATGCTTTGTTTTATTATTTTTTAACTTGTCAATTGTTTTATCAATTTTATTACTCATTTTATGCCACTGCATGTTAGTCATACCTAGCATATTTCATATAAGTATATTTTATTATTTTTTATGATTTTTTATTATTTCTGACGCGGTTAAGTTTTTTTACATATGCCATCACAAGTTATCTAGTTTTTATATTCAAGCTGGCATATTTCATAGTTATATAATAATTATAAGATTTATTTTAGTCCAATCCATAAAATTATGATTATATTTCCTATTTAGATTTATAAATTGTCTAGAAATAGTCTTGTCCATTCTAAAAAAAAAAATTCCAAACATAATCCATCGTGATTTAATTCTCTTGTAATTTATATTATGCCTTGTTATTTATTTGAAAAAAATTATTTAAGTTACAATTGAATTTTTACAAAATTTCAAACCGAATTTACTAAACTTATTTCAGTTTGGTTTTAGTTTTGATTTTGGTTTTAATTAATTCAATTAATTGAAAACTGAATTGAATTTATATAAAACAGAATCGTTTTATTGTTTGCTCACCTCTAATAACAGTCTTTTGGGTTTGGATTTGGAGGGGTATGTTTTTAAACATTTTCTTCTTCTTTTTTCCCTTTTTAATTTTTTCCATTTTCAAGAGAGATGAATCATTTTTGCTTTGAGAAAGTATTTATTAAAAAAAAAAACATGAATCATTGATAATTAGGAACCACGAAAAAATTGAATGAATGGTTTTTGTTCGTGAAAATAGAGAAAAAAATTCCATTTTGTTTCTATTGACTTTGTCAATAGAATGAATGGTTTTATTTATTTATTTTTTAAGGGAACATGGAGACTTTATGAGTATTTATTTAAATTGAGTTGTGCGCATTAATTGACAGTTATGTTTAAGCTGAAATATTTTATGTGTTTTATTGAAATAGAAATGATATATAAAAATAAAAATCACATCAATTTTAATATGTGATTATCAATTAGTATAAATGATTTAATTTAAGTTGATGAACTACTGAGTGATAAGTACTCCTAAAATACCATAAATATTTTTGAAAACATGAGCACTAAACGAGGACAAAAACCATTATGAAATTTTATTCCAAAACTGTACTTATAAACTTTTCATAATTTCAAGCCAAGTCCTCAACTTATCTATCTTAGCCATGGCTTTTGTATGAGTTGTTTTATTTTTATCATTAGATTAATTTAAACAAAAATAAAAAGTTATAAAACTAAACATTACCAAAAAAAATATATATATATATATATATATATAGAAGAAAAGCAAGAAGAAAGAGAAATCTTCTGATAATGAAAATAAACTATTATTATCAATAAAAATTATTATTAAACAAAAATTTTTATCATTGTGAATTTATAAAGACACGTATCTTAATATTTTATTTTTGAAATTGAAAGATATGTTAATTTGTATTTGAAACCTAAAAAATTTCAAATCAAATCTTATGTTGATTTCTGTTTAAATATCATTTTTGAGATTAGATTTGTGCTTATAAGGACTACCAGAATGTTCATAATTATTTTGGGTAAAAAAATACAAAATAAAAATTTTACCCGCTAACGTGTCCGGGACAAGGTTAAAAAGAAGACCTTAGATGACAAGTTTTATGGGTCTTTTTTATTCCAAATGATTGGACCTAGCAGAAGTGCCAAGTTTTATGGGGTTTTTTTAAGCCATAGTTCAGGATTGCCTGGGCTCAACTCCAAGGCCGAATTGTTTTTATTTTTTAAAAGGATTTTTTTTATTTTTATTTTTAAATATTCCATTGAGGTTATCATCTTTATTTTAGTAATCTTAATATACTATAAGTTTTATATTTCTTACCAATCTATTTTCATATGATTGTATGTACATAAAAATTATTATACACTAGTAGTTTTTTTTTTTTTAACTTTAAAATATCATATGTTTTTAAAGGAAAAATATTATTTGAGATGTTTAAAATATAAAATATGCATAATATAGTAGAAAATTTTAGATTTTTCTTATTTAATAAAGAAAATATAATTATTTAAAAAATATTTAAAAGAAATTATAATATAAAATAAATGGCATACCTAACCTAACATGCACAATAAAAATCTATAAGGACAAACAAAGAAAAGAACAAATATTTGTATCTTATCCACCATAACATATTGTCCCCAGTGTCATGTTTCCTCTTGTATCATCTCTATTATCTAGTCTCTAGCGTCCTGTCTCTTAATAAACCCAACATTTGCTCTTATCATTTGAATGCTAGGATTAAGAGGTTAAGAATAGACATGGAGGAATCAAAATGACATTTTAATTGTAATAAGTGTTTGGAATAGTAACTAAAGATTAGAGTATAGTATAAATTTCTAATAGTTATTTGTTAAGATAGAAAAGAACAATGATAAAAAATAATCATCTAGCAATGGTAAGGGGCTAAAAATATAGAGTGATGATGACAATAACCACGATGACAAAAGCTATAGTGATAACAAATAATAATGATAACAATGATAGATATACTCATATGATGTTTATGGTAGTGGTATTAGAAATATCGGTAAGAGTGATTGAGACAACGACCGTGGATGAGATGGTAATAGTAATGGTGGGGATACAAAAATAACAAAATTAATGATGATATATATGTGTGTGTGTGTGTGTGTAAAATACCAAAAAAAAAAAAAGATAAGTAGATCAATCTGTCCTTATACAATAGCCTAAGTTTATAACATATTTATATGTTTCTAATTACATTTATTATATCTCTAACTATCATTTAAGCTTCTAATTCGTTCTTTTGATCAATTTTTTTGATAATGTGTAAAAAAAAAACTTATCAAAATGCCCCTAATTAAATTGAAAAAAGAAAAAAATCACCTTAAGTTTGTTGTAAAACTTGGAACGAACTTAAAGAAGAACGAAATTACGTTGTGCTTAATTGCGTGTAGAAAATACCCCATGTTATTCTTAAGGTGATTATTACCCCCACTATAATGCTGCAAGGATTTTAACAATTCACTCGTAGAATACGGTTTACGCACATAAAGAATTGCAAGCAACACTTTTGAAATTCTTTTAAGAGAATATCTCTTGAGGTTATAGAGTTTTAAAAGGAAAAAAATTTTGAGACGAGAGGAGGATTACGGAGAAAATAAATTGAATTTTATCCTATGCGGTAGTCTCCTATTTATAGATTACTAAGACTATTTCATAACATACGTGACTATTGAAATTAACTAATTAATAGTTAAATTCTAATAGTCATAATCTAACAATCATATAATCCAATAATCATAACCGTTAAATTTTAACAATTATAAGGCCAACTATTATGTTTTGTTTTAAAAAAGCTGTTAATAATTAACTGCAATAGAAAGTTGAAAAAACATAATTAATTAAAATAATTATGAATTTAATTACATTAAGAAATAAAAATAAATTTCTTAATCACACACGAGGACATGCGAAGTACTTAGTGCTAATCTTTGATTATTATTATTATTATTATTATTATATAATTTCAACCAATTAGCTTAGTTTTTGCTTCAATTTCTTCAATTAAATATTTGAAATTTTTACTTGGTTGTTCACTTTATAAGGTGCCTCTTCTTTTCATTTCAAATTTCATTTATAGCACACTTAACTTATTACCTAACATATCCAAGATTTCTAACAATCCCCCACTTAGATAATAATGTTAAATCCTTATAGTATCATGCATAAAAGGAAGATGTCTTTCAACTTCAATCTCCTTTTAGTGTAAATATCTCAAAGTCTTAATGGAATAAATAGTATCTTAAACAATTGAACCAATATCCCTTGTATTAAAACTAGAAATACCACACACGTGATCTAATCTAATTTGTTTTAGAAATTCTCAAAAATTCTTTTAGCACTTATATGCTTATATGCTACATCCTATATTTTCATAAACATTTCCAAAATTTAATCCTTGAACTTTTGCTAGGAGCGGTAGGTGAAGTTCCTATTAAGTTCGAATATATTAATCATATTTCATAACTTAATCCTCATTAAGAGTTTATAACTAATCCTTTAAACTTTATTAATACTAGATAACTTGGAATGAAAACATAAGTAAAATATCCTAGTACTTCCACGAGTCACTTATCAATAACTTGTTTTTACCCATTAAACTTTTAACAAGTGATAATACTAGAGAGATGTTAGGTTTCATTACCGGTGATTGTAGAATAAGGGTCTTAAACCCATTCTAATTGAAGTTTTCCATACTAAATCTTTAATAAGCCCTTTTGTAAATAGATTTTCCAAGATGTTACTTGTTCTTACATATAACATTATGATAATTCCTTCAAGAATTAATTGTTTGACATATTCATATC